ACCATTATTTTTTTTCTAAATTCATTTTTATTCAAAATACCTGTCAGTAAATGTCATAAACAGCAAGCGTCTGATAAGGATTATTATCTGGCATTGAATATCATTCGCTTACATAAAGTTTTTGAAAGGAATATTTTTAAACAAAAAATTTAATATTTACACTAATTGTTCTATTATTGAAATAGTAACAATGCAGTGTTTTCACAAAGCATCCAATTGTTGTAATTAAATAACTAAATAATGAATTTCTAAAGGAGAAATAATTTTAAATTGTGAATTATAATTTCTAATTAATTTATTAAATTATTAATCAAAGTTCAATTTCAAAAAACACTGATTATTTTTTAAGTTTTTCTTTTTGAAATTAATTCGAAAAGAACAGAAAATTTTGGAAAATAAAAAATCTTTTTAAATTAATTTAAATAAATCAAAATTTTCAAATAAAATAAATATGCAAATAAAATAAATGGAAAATTAATGAAATACCTAAAAAATAAATTAAAAAATTTTTTTTTAATAAATATTAGAAAATAAAATGCAATGGGTATAAATATATAATAATAATAATAATAGTAAATAATAATAAAAATAAATAATTTAAATAATAGTGTACACTTATTTAAATGGAAATTTAAACATAAAATATTGAAATAAGTTCAGACACTATTTTTTTTCTTTTTTATTATTTGAAATGAATATTTATTTTCGACGAATATCGTTAGTTATTTAGAAAGACGTCCGTGTTTTATTTTTGTCCATCTCCCCCAAATGACGTAAAAATCGTCGTTCTTGTATAAATACAGAGTAATACTCCAAAAAGAAATGTAAGTTTTATTTTTCATTTTGAGAAAATGCATTTTTCAATTTAAAAAATGTAATTTTTTTAATTTAAAAAATTGAACATTTTTTTATTAAAAAATATTATTTAAATTATTTTTTTCTTTTTTTTCATAATAGAAAATATCCCTATAAAGTTGCAAACGTTCAAATGAACGACGGTATTTTTTTTTGCTTCTTTTAATTTATATATTTAAAAAAATATTTATTTTTTATATTAAAATAAAACTTAATACTTAACTAAATAAGTAAATATTTATTTTTCTTCTTCTTTTGGATAGTAATTTTTAAAAATATTTAATCAGAAATATAAACTTCATTAATTTGAACGTTTAAAAATTTTGAGAAATAATTGAAACAAAATTCAAATCTTATATAATGTTACCCTGGAAAAATGATAAGATTACATTATTTTTAATTACAATAATAGAAAAGAAAACATGTCTAAACACGACTTTTAAATTAAATAATTAATATTGAAATAATTTAATTAGCCTAGACCCTGCATTATATACATTATTCTTCATGGAATAAACCTTGTTCTTGAATTTATTCGAATATGAAAATGACTCACTTTTCTGCGTATATTATGCAATTTAATTAGGAAACTACATTATTTCATTTTACTCTAATAACATGTTAAACACTCGTGTAAATGAAGAAAAGTTTTTAAATAAGGTAAACAATTTTTTTTATTTACAACAAGAGAATACTTTGTGGAAATTTTTATTTCATTGCACTGAAATTTTTTAAATTTATTAAGTTGTTGGATTTAATTATGATAATGACAATAATGTCAATAATGACAATAATGACAACAACAATAATAATAATAATAATAATAATAATCTGTAAAAAAATTTATTTGGTTCAAATAACCGAATACTTTGACTTCTATAATTATCAAATAAATATTTACTTGAATCAAATAATAAAATAATTTCAAAAAAAATAAAATGATCGATTCGCGAAATTCAAAATTCGTGAAAGTTTGTAAAGAAAAAAAATGATAATAATAATAAATAAAAAAAAAGGTTAAAAAAATAATAATGGTAAGAAAAAAAAATTGCATGAAATTCCAGCATGCAGTTTCAATATCTTTCTTTTTCTCTCGAGAAATAATTAATGTGAAAGTTTGCGTTTAATATAGAATGTAATTTTATTTATATTCTTTTGAGGCATAAATTGGGGGTTTTTCTGGACACTGTATTATACGTACGTATATATATATATATATATATATATATATATATATATATATATAGGTAGAAAGTTGTCCTTATTTTCGTGCCTGGATTATTAGTTTTAGATGCGAATATATACATACACAGCGTACATTCGTAATTTTACAAATTTACAAGTTCCCCATATTCGTATTCTATTATATACATACATATATATCTGTATGAATTCATAGCCTGATTTCCCTGATGATGAGAGTATATACATACACACATCATATATGTATATATAGTTCTCAAGTGCCTACCGCGCATATAGAATAATTGAGGCAAAAGTGAATTTCCCGAGAGAGGGAATACAGTCATATAATTAAATGTTTGATTCGCATATATTTGAAATAAAATTTTGCTTATAGCCAATCATTAATTTAAGGAAAGTTCAGAGAGAGAGAGAGATGCGGTTAAAAAAAATTTGAATTTACCATTTTCCTTCATTTTTATTTTCTTCATTATAAAAAATATTGAAATTCAATATTTTTTCCTTCAATAAACTTTTTAACTTTCCGATTTTTTTTACTTTTTATATAATTTATTTATATATTTATAATTTTTTATTTATAATTTTTTTCTCTTTTTTATATTATTAAGGGCATTTGAACCATTATGACGTCATAGTTTTAAGACACATGCTGTGCACAAATTGTGACGTCGTAATGGTTCAAATGCCCTTAAAGTCAATACAATTATTCAAATTATTTTTTTATTATTTATACATTAAATTATTTTTTAATTTGCTTTATTAATTTAATTCACATTATTTTCTACTCGTTTTATTATTTAATTACGTTCTTTACTTGACTAATTATAATTTAATTCCATATTTTCTGTTTAGGTATTTTCTTTTAATTTTCTTCTTCTTCTCTTCTCTTCTTTTCTTTTATTTTTATTTTATTTTTTTTTTTGATCATTAGAGAATAAAAAAATGAAGACGTATGATTCAGCTGCTTAGATTTTCGTGTATAAAATTTTTCCCATTTTTCTTTTTTCTTCTTTCTCGCCCACATCTACCTCATTACCTCGGGAAAATGTATTACCGAAAATTCATCTTGTGCCCCCCTTTTGCGCGGTTTTCACCTGAACGTTTTCCGATAAATGTTTGAAGTCGCTGACCTATAAATTTTTCCAAAGAAATATTGAATAGATAAGAGAGCAATTTAAAGTTAAGAACTTTAAAACATTTCAATAAATTGATTTCCCTTGGGATATTAATCGTAGACCGAAAATATTTCAAATATCTATATATATATATAATATAGAAAATAAAAATTATTATTGTAAAATTGATATATAAATTTATATTTTTGTCCAATTGAATGAATCCACATTGTGTAATTTATTTTTGGAAATTTTCTTTTTTAATTATACACTATTTCTTATCACATTTTATTATCAGTGTCGATAGCGTTTATAACATATTAATTAAATCAAGGCCTGTATTGAACAATACACGTTCTACAATGAAAAAAAATTTTGAAATAGATTTAAAATTTTCAATTTATAAAATAAAATTTACACAAAAATTAAAATAATATAAAAATTGGATAAAATTGTAAAATAATTATTTTATCGCTATTAATAAATTTTAAATTGATTTAAGGCAAAAAAGAATTGGATAAAAACTAAATTAAATACTCAAGAAAGTTAAAAATTAAAAATTTTAACAAATTATAATGTAAAAAAAATAATATAATAAAGTTTATAACTATTTTATTATAATTCGATTTAAAATCCATTTGTAAATTAATTAAAATGTGGTTAATATAATTAAAACAATAATTTGAGAAAAATGTAAAAAATTTTCATTTTAATTTAATTTTAAAAAACTAAAGATCAAAAAATGTTTAAAATTGTTATTAAGATTTTAATTAAAATTCTTTATTTTCTTTCTTTATTTATGAATAAATAAAAAAATACTATTATATACTATTTACCGCAATAAATTTTACCAACAATCGTAAAAATAAACAAATATAAAGAATTCTTTCAAATGAAAATTATTATTTCAAAATGAAAGAGTATAGACTCTAAGCGAAAAATAAGTAAACGTAGGGAAACCACTTAGTAAATCAATTTTCACTGAAAAATTACAGGTGAATTTTTAATAAAGCTATTATTTTTTCTTTTATAAACAAAAATAATATACTTTACACACAAGGCTCAAAGAAATATATATTAAATCGATCGAATTAAACTTAATAAAATAAGGAATACGATAGAGGGATTAAAATAATCAAGTTCAAGGTATTATTATGCTGACTATACACTTTTTGTATAAGTATAATCTTATCAGCTGGTTTGTATTGTCATATTGTCTGTATAGTGATTTAACCAGGCCAACTCACTTTACCTATACAGTTCTTTCATTTCCCATTAATCTCTCGTCCGCGAACGATTATCTGTGAAAATTCCCTCGATTCAGAAAACGAGAAAAAGTATTCTCTCATTTTGAAAAATTAGAAAAAAAAAACAATTTTTACTATTTTTGAAATCATTTTAAACCTGAAAAATTTTTCTTATTGTAAACTTCGCCATAAATTAAGTAATTTACTCTTTGATTCAAAATTATTTTCATTCTCGAAATATTTATTAATAAAAAATCCCTCTTAAGATTTTTATTCAAAATTTTTCTTACCTGGAAATATTCCAGTAAAATAGTTTTAAAAAATTTTAAAAGTAAATTAAACAGAAACAAACATTTCTTTCTGTACAGCAAAATTTCTTTGATTTGGAAAAAGAAAAAAAATTCTCTGAAGAAAAAAATGTTTTATTCCGAATAGTAAATTTTTGTTCTAAATAAAATTTATTTAGTAAATAAATATTCAATATAAAGAAGAGAATTTTTTCGATTGGAATTTCTTTTATTCCATTGTAATATAATGATTTGAAGCTGTAAATGCAAATTTATTTTAAGAGTGATAAAAATAAAAAAGTGGAAGTTGGCAAAGTCGAAATGCATTAAGAGCAAGTGCTTTTTGTTTCGGATTCATCTTCACAAAGTGAAGATTAGAATTTTATATATTATTAGTGTTTATGTGAGAAAAATTTGAAGAAACAAAAAAAAAATGTACAAAGGATTTTGTGCTCCTTGTAAAATGATTAAATCCCAGTGTTTAAATCGCATTTATGATAATTGTGTCGCTCATGTCAAGCCATTGCATCTGTAAGTTGAGAACTCAATTCAATTACATTCATTGTATTACGTCATTCAATTTTATTAGCCAGTGACATTTAACACGTGCTACTTTGGAAAAAAAAGCACGCTTCTCATTTATTTTCCCAAACAGTTGCAAAAATTAATTTGAAAACAAAAATTGCAAAACAATAAAATATTATATAAAATTCTATAATAAAAAATATTTCCAAGTCTAGAAAATACAAAAATAATTCCTCACGTCTTATGACAAATAAATCACAAATATGACAAAAATCACAATTTATGTCAAATAAATCAAACTTAATGACAAATAAATTTTGAACTACTTTTTCATTCAAAAATTTATCTTACCTTAAAATGAAAATGATTTTTTTCTTCTGAAATATTATTTTTAATTTATACGTTCAAGTGAAAAACTATTTTAATTTAAACATAACTAGAAAAATATTTAATTGTTAATATATTTCTATACGCATGAATACGGTGTTTATTAAAAAAAAAAGCTCGTTTATTCACCCACACTTTAAAACTATTTTTTTCATTTCAAATATTTCTCATTGGGAACCGAAAGAAATATTTTTCCATTTCATATATTGTTCAAGTTGTAATTGTTTTTTTTAAATTTCATTTCAATTTGAAACAACGCTATTTAAAGTTTCCTGGTTCTACTCATTGTTTCTAAATTATTATATAAAACCCTTTTTTAAAAGAAAACAGAGAAAAAATTTTCAATAACAAAAAATTAAAGGCGGAACTTCTTTTTCAAGGTTTTATTAATTATTTCAATGAGAATATTATTTATTATTATTCCATAAAGTTTATTTGTTAAAATAATAATTTATTTTTAGTAATAATTATTATTGCTATTATTATTATATTATTAATATAATTATTATATAAATATATTATTATTATTAATATATTCATTATTATTATTATTAATTATTTCAATGTAAACTGTCAAAGCTTGAATAATTAGAAACTAATATTTTCCAAATGAATCCCTATTTGTCAATAAATTTACTTTGATCAAGGTTTAATGATTGAAACTGTATATCCCGCGGATGTTTATGTAGTATAAATATAATTGTAGCAATTGATTAAACATGCCCATCTATTTCGATTTATTAGTATTTTTTTATCCTAATTTCAACAAATTTAGTGTAAATTTATATAACATTGTCGCTAAACTACGAAAATATAACTCGAGAGTAATAATTAATAATAATTTAATTAAAATTTATTAATAATTTAATCATTTAATTGTAACTTATTATAGTTCAATTATAATTTAATTGAAATTTATTATAGTTTAATTATAATTTATTTGTAAAATTTAACAATTATTTATTTACAATTTCATTATATTTAAATTGTAATTTAATTAAATAAATAAATTATATTTTATATAATTTTATATTTAGGAATTAGGAATAAATAGTTCTTTTTAAATATTAACAATAATTTTTTTTTATTGTATAAGAATAAATGGAAAAAAAATATTATTTTGTAATCACTTTCGATATCATAATTTTTTGCGAAATCAATTTTAATTTAATTGACAAATTAAATAATTTCAATTTTATTATTGTGTGTGGCATTAAATTCACAAAATTATTGTGCAAAGTGGAAGGATTAAACTATGACATATCCATTTTGGTATATAGAATCTCTAATCCAGGAGGGACTTCATTTGCCTCCATTTGTTTAGCTGTGAATCCTCAATCACTTCCTAGTGCGCATTCCACCTGGGACAAACAATATGTGAAGCTAGTCTTGAAATTGACAGTTCCCACTGAGTCTCCTGTTCAATATAGAAAATCTATAATATTCTATCTATAGTCAAGTAAAATTAAATTCAATTTCGAGAAAATTTCTCGAAATAAGAAAAGAAAGAGAGGAATAAAAAATTTCGCATACAATTTTTCAAAAATTGAATAATAATTCTTTTTTTTCCTCCACTAAAAAAAAAAAATTCTGATTTAAAAAATATTAAATTCCTGAAATTTGTTTCCTTTCTAAAAAAAAATTTTAATATTCATAATAAAAAGAATTTTTTTAAATTAATTTTTTATTGAAAATGTTAAGTGTTTATTTTGTTCATTTATTTATTTGTCTGTTTACAGGGTTGCCACAAAAAATTAATTTTCTTTTTCCCTAACATTTTCCTAATTTCCAGACAAAATTTTATTTTTTTCCCAAAAGAATCATAAATAATAAAATTTTTCCCAGGATTTCAATTATTTTTAATACAATTTTAAATGAATTCCTCGAAAAATGTAATTATTTTCAAACATTTTTTACAAGAATTCAATTACATTCCACAAATAATTAAATTCATAGCTGAAATTCAAATATTTTCAAATTCAAATATTTTAATGAAATTTCAGAAAAGAATTCAATTATTTACAAAAAAATGTACCTAATAAAAATTCGTTGCAAGAATTTAATTATTTTCCTAATATAATAAAATTCTTCCCAGGATTTCAATTATTTAAAAGAAATGTAATAAAATTCTTTGCAAGAATTCATAATTGTTTTCCTAAATACTAAAATTCGTCACAGAATTTCAATTATTTTTCACAAATTTAATAAAATTTCATTGAAAGACTTAAATGATTTTTCTAAATAATAAAATTCTTCTCAGGATTTCAATTACTTTAATACAATTTTTAAGTAAATTTTTCGAAAAATGTAATTAATTTCAAAAATTTTATTAAAATTCTTCGAAAGAAATAAATGAACAATTATCAATTATTTATAATTTTTTATCTGAAATTAATTTTTAAAACAATTTTTATTAGAAAATTCTACGAGAATTCAATTATTTAAATACGAAAATAAATAATTTATTGAATACATGAATTTTTTTCGAAAATTGAATTCTCATAAAGAAATTTATCAACTAATTTTTAAATAATCGAATTTTAATAAAATTTTCAAGAAGAATTACATTTTTCAAGGAATTCGAGGTTAAAATTGTATTACAAATAATTGAAATTTTATTATGAGTTTTAAAATTCATGAAAATAATTAAATATTTTTAAAAACTTTTATTATTTATGAAAATAATTGAATTATTGCGAAAAAATTTATAAAAAAATTTGTAAATAGTTGAATTCCTGTGAAATGTTTATTATTTATAAAAATAATTGAATTTTGGAGAAGAATTTTATTATTTTTAAAGATAATTGAAATTTTTACTAGAATTTTTTTAAATTTTTGATCAAAATTGAATTTTTGCAAACATTTGTAATTTCTCTAAAATACCATTTTTTAGTGTTTTTAACTAAAATTCTTCGATAAATCCATTATTTTTAATAATTAATTAAATACATATTAAAAAATACAATGAAACTAATTAAGAATCATGCAAATTTAATTTTTTGCAATACTTTAATAAAAATCCCTGATTTCTCTGACCTGTGGCAACACTGGTATATTTGTTTATATATTTTTTTGTCTATTTGATTGTTTATTAATTTTTTCTTTGATTTGTTTATTTATATGTTTGTTTGTTTATTTATTTTTTGTCTATTTATTTAATTGTATATTTAATTGTTTGTCTGTTTGTTCATTTATTTGATTAATTTGTTATTTTTTTATCAATGAACAAATTAATTTCTTCACTGACTTGTTTATTTATTTTTTTTATTTATTCATGTTTATTTTTTGTCTATTTATTTATTTGCTTGTCCATTTATTTATTTGTTTATTTATTTATCTGTTAATTTCTTTATTTATTTATTCATTTTTTATTTATTTGTTAGTTTATTTATTTATTATATTCTAAATATGTAAAAATATCGAGGGAGAAAATTTTGAATTTGAAATTAATGGAAAAAATTTTATCTCCAGATCATCGAGTAGCAGGAATGGAGGAGGATCATGGGCAAGGACACTTTCACCTTCTCATCCTGCAGTCAAGGATGTCCCACAAAGAGATATTCATGAAGTTCAAGGAGAAGTCGTTCCCATTAACATGGTCAAGGGAATTGGCCATCTCAGAGACCCACGACTCAACAAGGTTTCTATTAAAATAATTATTTTCCCATTTTTACACTATTTTTTTTCACAATTTTTCTATAAAAATTTTTTTTTATTCACTGAGGACGAAAATTATTTACAAAAGTAAGAAATATTTATTAATAAAATAAAATAAAATAAAAAAAATGGAAGTAATAAAAAGTTTAATTATTAATTAATAATTAAATTAATTCCATTAATTTCAATATTTTTTTTCTTTCACGAACTAAAAATATGGGAAATTAAAAAAATATACAATATTATTATAATTATTAATTTTTCAGGGTCTGGCCTTCACCTTAAAGGAGAGGATATCATTGGGAATCCATGGACTACAACCGCCGAGATTTAAAACACAGGAGGAACAGCTGGCCCTGTGTAAAGCGTCCGTAATGAAGTACACGGAAGATTTGAATCGATACCTTTATCTGGTTGAATTGCAGGTGAGTGATATGCCGCAAAAAAAAAAATAAATAAATGCGACCACTGGCCGACTAAATAACAAAACAAAAAATCAAAAAAAAATTCCTTTATGAGCTACAATGAGAGAACCCCTTGGATAATAGGAGAGGAACGAGAGACTATTTTTCCGTCTCGTGAGCGAGAATATCGAGCAGATGATGCCTATTGTCTACACGCCGACTGTGGGACTTGCCTGTCAAAAATTCGGCGTTATTTATCGAAGGCCACGTGGACTCTTCATCACCATCTACGACAAGGGCCATGTTTACGAGATTCTCAACAATTGGTCAGTAAATTCAATTTCTCTTCAAATTTACTCCAAAAGGTCACTTTCGACTAACGAAATTGAAATCCCAATTTAAGTGATTGGGATTGATTCAATTAATTTCAGTTAATTATTTGAGTTCAATTAGAATTTAATTTTCTGTTTAATTAATTTGGTACAATTAATTGACTTCATTCAATTAAATTATCCTGGTGGGGAAAAGAAATGTAATACCAAAAAATATTAAAAATTGAGGGGAAAAATTTATTTTGAAAAGAAAAATAACGAAAAGAAGAAGAAGAAAATAATTTTTTGGCATGAGAAACATTAATGAAGAGAGTGGTGCCAATTTGCTTCGTTTTACAAAATTTCTAGGCCAGAACAAGCGGTGCGAGCTATTTGCGTTACGGATGGCGAGAGAATTCTAGGTCTCGGTGATCTTGGTGCTTGCGGAATGGGAATTCCAGTAGGGAAATTGGCTCTCTATACAGCTCTCGCTGGAATTAAACCTCATCAATGTCTGCCAATAACAATAGACGTGGGAACGAATAATGAGCAATTAAGAAACGATCCTCATTATATTGGACTCAATAAGCCAAGGAGTCAAGGTGCTGAATATGATGAATTACTAGATGAATTCATGGCAGCGTGCGTTCGTAAATATGGTCAAAATGTTCTCATTCAGGTAATTATTTGTATGCAGTACTTAAAATTGCAATTTTTTACTTCAAATTTTTTTTTTACTGTAATTTTTTAATTAAACATCAATTATTAAAATCTATTTACCATCGATAATTTCACTCTTATTCAAAAATAATTTTATTCGTATTGAAAAATATTTTTCTTCTTGTTGAAAAATAATTTGTATTTAAAAAGCTTTACTCGTATTTAAAAAATTTTCTCATGTTTAAAAATAATTTTACTCTTATTTGAAAAAAAATTTTTTATTGCAAAAAAATTTTCAGAATTGACACAAGAATATGATTTTATTTTTCCCTAATTTCCAGACTGAACTATGACTTTTTCTGACCCTAAAGAATATTTTAATTTACTCCAAAAATAATTAAATACAGAAAAAAATATTTGTAATACATTTATTTTTTAATCTTTTTAATTGTAAAATTATTAGGAACATTGACAGTTTTTTTAAAATAAATCTTTAATCATATTATTATTATATTCAAATTTCAAATTCTTTGAAATTCAATAATTTATAAAAATTATTACAGTAACTTAGGAAAAATTATTTTCAAGATTTAAATTCAATTATTTTCTAAAATTTTTAACTAAACTTCTTTTCTATTTCAATAATTTTTGAGAAAATGCCGTAAGAATTCAATTATTTATTTAAAGAAAAAATAGTTCAGCTAAAATAGTTCTGAAATCCTCTTGTTTACAATTAAGTTTAATGAAATTTAAATAAATTGAAAATTTTCTATTTAAATATATGTATTAAAAAATACAAGTAATTTGAAATAAAATTTTTCAAATAAAATAACTTCTTCAGAATTTATGATTTAAAGTTTTTAAAATTGAACTTTTCTAAAACTTCAAACTGAAACTTTTAGAAATTTAATTTACATTAATAACATTAGTAATATTAATTTAACATTCTAAACTAGTAAAATTATAAATTATTTTAGAAAAACTAATTAATATTAATGCAAAATACGATTTTTTGAAAATTTATTTTCTAAAACCAGAATTTTATTTATTTTAACATGTCTTGTTCTATGTAGAATTCAAAAATTAATTTTTAGATAATTCATATCACTTTTTGTAATTTTTGCAACATTTCATATTTTTGAATCTGAAATAATTTAATTGAATTTTATTATTAATAAATTTACTATTATTAAAATAATTTAATTGTTTTGAAGTATTTTATGGAAATTTTTTGAAAATAATTCAATTCTTTTGAGGAATTCAATTAAAATTTTATTAAAAATAATTGAATTCTTTTGATAAAATTTAATTAAAATTATAAAGAAAATAATTGAATTCGAGTGAAAAAATTTATTGCATGTATAAAAATAATTGAATTCTTGGAAATTTTTTCGACGAATTTCATTAAAAATTCCATTGAAAATGATTGAATCGTTTTGAAAAATGTTAATTGAAAATAATTGAATTCTTTCAAGAAATTTTATTAGGTAAAATTGAATTGAAAATAATTGAATTGAATTAAAGAATTTTTTTTAAAGTTGAGTTTTTTCAAAATTTTAAATCTGGAATTATTAGAAAATTAAAGATGATATTTGAAAATAAAAAATGTTTTTTACATAATAATAAACTAAGTACTCAGTTTCGTGTGCAACATTTGTTATATAGTTATTTATAAAAATTGAAAGCGCAACTTTTAAAGAATTCAATTATTCTTTTAATTTTTCAAAAACTTAAATTTAAATTTAAAATAAATTCAATTTAAAATCTGTAAAGTTCAATTATTGTTACAAATAGAAAGAATATAATATTAAATTAACTCTTTTCAATATTTTTTAAGCCTGCTGAAAAACAAAATTCAGAATTTTCTTATGAATTCTTCCTGAATATTTTTCCTTGTACTTTTGATAAAATTCACTGACTGTTTCCTGATCTGTGGCAAAATCCTGATTTTTTATTGAAAACTATGTTTACTTACATTTAATTTAAAATAAAAATTTACAACAATATTTCAACTCCAGAAAGTTTAATTATTTTCAAAATTTTTTCACGAACTGTAAGAGCTGTTTTCAATTTGAAATGGAAAAAATTTATTTTAATTTTTTATTCCTATTATAGAATATTAATTAACATCGAAATAATTTGATTTCAGTTTGAAGACTTTGGAAATCATAATGCCTTCAGATTTCTAGATAAATATAGAGATAAGTATTGTACATTCAATGACGATATTCAAGGAACTGCCGCCGTAGCAGTTGCTGGAATTCTCGCCTCAAAACGTATAACGAAGAAAAAAATGTCTGACAATAAATTCGTCTTCCTTGGCGCTGGAGAGGTACAATTTCAATAATTATTTATTTCTTCTAAACGCAATAAAAACTTTCCTTACTTGAAAGAACAGGAATAAATTATTTTTTAAATCATTTTTTGAATTCAGATTTGTTTTAAATTAATTTTTCAAGAACAATTTGAATTTGAATTAATTTTTCCATTTAAATTTGTTTTGAATTTATTTTTCAATTTGAATTTTTTTAGATTCATTTTTCAATCTGTAGGTATTTTGTTTCGAATTAATTTCTTAATTTCAATTTCTCTTGAATTAATTTTCCTTTCTTTCTAATTAATTTTTACATTCTCGTAAAAAAATGAGAGAAGGTCTTGTTAAAAAATTGAATTTTTTCATCATCGAATGTGAAATTTTTTTTTTTTAGGCGGCAATTGGAATTGCGGATCTCTGCGTGAAAGCATTGGAAGCTGATGGACTGTCGGAGGCGGAAGCGCGCAATAAAATTTGGATGATGGACATCGATGGCCTATTGACAACATCGAGAAAAGAGGGTACAATGGACGGTCACAAGATTTGGTACGCAAAAGATCATAGACCAATAAAAACCCTAATCGAAGTTGTAAAGGAAGTTAAGCCCTCAGTATTAATCGGTGAGTGATTATAATTTTCAAATAATTTCCCAATTATTTTTATTCTCTAAAGATAATTATAATTTTTTCTTGCAGGAGCATCAGCGGCTGCTGGAGCATTTACACCTGAAGTTCTTCAAGAGATGGCAAAAAATAATGAAAGACCATTGATATTTGCCCTCAGCAATCCAACCAGTAAAGCCGAATGTACTGCTCAACAGGCTTACGACTGTACTGAAGTGAGTCCCCTCGAAATTAGTAGACACGTGAATTTTAAATACAAATTTTTTAAAGTATATTTCAAAATAAGTCTTAATATTTTTATATTTATAATAATAGTTTTAATAATAGTTTTAGTAACAGATTTAGAAAACATATTTGAAAAAACAAATTTTTTTGTTGTCAAAGATAAAATTTAGTGGAATGTGATTTTAATTTTCAGGGAAGGTGTATTTTTTCATCGGGCTCGCCATTCGGTGAAGTGAACTATAATGGGAAGATTTATAAGCCCGGACAGGGAAATAACGCCTATATATTCCCTGGAGTTGCTTTGGGAGTTATCGCGACAGGAGTTCATCATATTATGGAGGAAATTTTTCTCATTTCTGCTCAAGTGGTCGCCGATCACGTAACGGATGAGGATCTTGAACGCGGAAGTGTTTACCCTCCTTTAAGTACAATTAAGGAATGCTCAATCGATATCGCTGTTAAAATCGCAGATTATGCTTATGCACAAAGTAAATCTTTTTTCTTCAAACATTTCAATCAGATATCAACTTTTCAAGTAGTTTAATTTGAAATTCGATTTTTTTTAACATTAATTAAACATTAAACATTAAAAGAATAGAAAGAATTCTAATAAAATTAAATTAAAATCTAAATAAGATTCCAAAGAATAAATAAAATATATTAAATCAAAAATCAAAAAAATATATTAAAATTACTTTAATATCTAAAAAAAAAGTCTGAGAAAAATAAAATATCTAATGAACTTAAATTGAAATCTGAAAAAATTTGGAAAAAATACGTAAATTCAAAATTTATCTGTACATTATTATTTTATTATGTAAATTCAATCAAATTTCACTTTCAGACGGTTTGGCTAGTGAATATCCAGAACCAAAGGACAAATTAAAATTTATTATGAGCAAAATGTACAGCGCAAATTATGACAGTCCTCTGCCTGCATTTTACGAATGGCCTGGAGAAGCTGCACATCCTCGTGTTCTTCCCGAAAAGTAAGTAACACAAGCGACTAATTTGTAAAAAAAAATTTATCAAATTGCTTTTTTCTTTTTCATTTCTGCCTTGGAAGAAATTTATACACTTGCAATTTAAAATTCACGTAATTCTCTTATTCTTGACAAGTGCATTTTTTTATATTGCTTTTTCATTTCTATTTTCTCTGCATCACTATCTCACTGAATTGTCGCTTTTTGTCTTATCAAACATTTTTTTCTATAATTTTTTTTTTGTCTCCACGTATTAATTTCTTTTCTCTTTAAATCGCATCCAAGTATTTTCTACGCTTAAAAGGAAGAAATAAATTTGACGAAAAAAAAGAAGTATTTTTACGACGAAAGTAAATAGATTTCTATCGTGTTTTTATGAATTTAATAACTATCTCTTTTTTCATGAATCATCGTTTTGAGAGAGAGAGAAAGAGTTGAAGGAAGTTTTGAGTTTTTAATTTCCCCCGTGAAATCTGAATTTGAAATTGTCTTTTTCAGAGACACTGTACAAATTCATCATGATTTAAAACAACTATAGGCATTTCCGAGTGGATCAATAAATATAGTTGAAAATATTTTTCGCTATTACAAGATTAATATTTATATGTAATATACAGTTTTAAACAAATAACTGTTGAAAGAGAAATATTATCAGATTAATGTTTTACATTTTGAAAAAAAGTTTATTAACTAATGTTAGCTGTTATCGACATGAATATCTATTTATTGTCTTTGTTCAAAAGCAAAGTGCTTCGATCTCTATATAAGTAAAAAAAAAATCTTTAGTGAGAATGTATGTTAAAATAACGAATTGCGTCTGGGAAACGATTTTCTTCTTACGTAAATTGCACTAATTTCATTAGCTCGCTTTAACATTTTCAGATGCATGTCATTTCTCTATTGATTTCTAAATTACTTTTGCATGCAGAAATTCAATTTTCCTTTTTCCTTTGGGATTTCTAGTTCTTTTTATTTTATAAAAAATATTCTATCAATTTTTCCTTGAAAAACGTTATTATTTCTAATTATAGTAATTAATAGTATGATTACTATATAGTTATTCCTAATTGTGATAATTAGAAGATTTATTAATTTGTATTTTTTATAGATTATTTATTATTTTTTATTTAGACGAATTTAATATTTTTTGTTACTTTGGTTATTTTTTTGTTAACTATTTAAAAATATATCTCTGTTGTATTTTTTTACACACAAAGAGAATATAAATTTTGCAAATAAATTAGACCTATTTAAAAATATATTCTTAATCTTCTTAAGAAATTTAACTAAAGAGTTAAATAAAGTATTTTTCATAAATCATTTTAAATGTATCAGAATATTTTTTAATGAAGAATATTTTTATAATTGATAAATTAACAAAGATTAATATCTTGTATTTAAAAAATAGTTAAAATTAAATGATTTTTGAATTAATTTTTTAGTTGAAAAAATTATATAAATTTATTGAAATTATGTTAAAATGCAGAGTAGGAATATGAACGAAAATTAATTATTAATCACTTTTCTCAGATTTCCCGATTTCCAGTTATTTAATACCTGCAGAGAATCCTGTCTTGAACAATCGTCAACCGAAAGATTGTCCTCTCCTTCTCCTAAACCCGAATTATCATCTCCAAGTCAAAGCTAATTATCATCAAATCACTAATCCTGATCACATAAATTTTTGCTACTACTCACATTTTTTTTTATATATCTTTTGACAATTTTTTGTATAGTTCGCTACTTATTTACAGATTTCTTTTGTTAATGATATTTTTTCTTTGTACATATTGTATATGTAGTTATTTATTAAACCCAAGAAATTATTACGACAAAGACCAAAATTAGCATTATTTATAATAATTAAATAATTAAAAAATTTACAAATATTTAAAATGTTAGCAAATTTTTAAAATATTTAGAATTTTTGAAATCTTGTAGATTATTTCACTTTTGCATGTCTCTGCACATAGAAAATAAAACTAACAATTTTTTAGTATTTAAATATATTTTAAAAATTCTAATGATTTTTAAATACAAATAGATTAATTTTCTCAAAAAAATAGAGCATGATTTAAATAATTTTACTTTTCATTGTTTGAAAAAAAAATAAATACCTAGTACAATATTAAAAACAATTTCTTTGAAGTGTATTTAGATTTCTATTTTTGAATTCATTGTTGAAAAAAAGAATTTTTTAAAAAGCGCCTCACTATCCCGTGACTAACAATTTATTTTTGTAACAGATTATAAATGCGTTGACGACTAAAAAAAGGCAACAAGTAAAACGGTAACTTCACAGTTACCAGGCCGTAAAGTAAATCTAAAACTCCAGTTAAGTGTATCGCGATAATTTTACTGATAATGTACTTATTTATTGCAAATGAAGACAACGTTCGAACCACATTACTCATTGAAATGCGACTAATGCAAAATATAAGTTTATAACTGTTATCTATATGAGATGATTATTAATTATCCATCTGCGATCGTCTCTACTTTGTAATTAAATTACTAAATGTCATAAAAAAAAATCTATAAATGTTTGTTGATTCAGATGTGATAATTAGAAGAAAAAAAATAGTTGTAGTTAATTGTTATTGTACATTTTCAGGAATTGTATAGAAATCATAAAAAAGAAAATTAACCGACCACAGGCGCATTATATTTTTGAATTATTTCAATTAATCGGATATTGTAACAATGATAATTGTGGCTTCCGAAATGTTGTTGCACCGACAGTATTTTTTGTACGTATTCTGAAAAGCTATAGACGCTATTTTAATATAAGCTTCAAATCAAATCAAAGAGAAAACTTGCAATATGATTTTCTTTTCTAAAATCTGAGCAAGAACAAAGTGATAATATACGACAAATACAATTTTTAAATGTATCATTTTATGTGTATTGTGTAAAAAAAACAAAATTTCATTACGAGTGAAAAAAAGTATCTTCGAAATTTAAATAAAACGTTTTTGGTCTAATTTAAAAGATATGCACTGTGTTGCTAAAATTGTAATCTACTGTTCGAAATAAATAATAATTGAACGAAATTGTCTTTCTTTATATCTAAAATATAATAATCTCAAATATATTTTAGTTGATTAATTTATTTTCCCTAAAAAAATTGAGAAATTAACTGTATAGTCTGGATAAGAAGACAAATCTCTTTTTTGCATTTAGATAATCAAAGTGTTTTATGAAGACTATTTACATAATTATAAATCAGTCGTTAATTTATTTTCTGATTTTCAACGAGGCAGAATTTCTCTTTTTGTACTCAAGAGGAAGATTATTCAGCGACAATATTTTTCCAGAAAAAAAAAATGCTTTGAGCATATTAAAAAATATTTTTTTTTGTTTAAATATTGAAAATATGACCTTCTTCTTCTTCTTCTTCTTCCAAATCTGCATTCCTGAGTTTTAAAGACTTTGAAAAGTTTGTACGAAAACTTACATTCAATCATCGTCGGAAAAATTATTTGGATTAAAATCCGGATCGTCCTCGTCATCATCCAAATCGAGATCATCAATATTTTGAAATAAACTTTCATCCACTTTCACTGCGTCACCTTTAAATAATATTATTTCATTATTCACGTGTGATATTTGATTATAATTACTACTAGAATTTAAAAATTTGAAAAAATATACCATCTTCTAAGAATTTAAGATCCGATTGATCCAGCGTTTTATCGGTCATAAACAATTCTCTGCCTGTTAATTTTTTCCCTTCCTTTTCAGCCAATTCTTTTCGTTTCTTATAACCCGTTTCCTCGTCATATTTCTCTTTCCAACTCAAGAAAGTCTCTACTGTTACTCTTGTACCTTCGAATCGTTTCTGTAAGAATTAAGTTTTAGTTTGATGAAAAGAAAAAAAAAGATTTTTTTCTAGAAAGAAAATTTTCGTTTACCATTTCAGCCTCTTCTTCTGCCTTTAATTTCTTCGCGGCATTTTCTTCTCTGTGCAATTTTACCTTATCCCATTGAACATTAAGCCATTCTTGTGCGGCACTAACTAAAGTAAATACCATAACTATTCCTAAATTTTCATTCATCTGCTCAATAAGATGTGCATGCAATTCCTCATCATTTCCATCCTCAAAATTCTCCGTATCTTCAATATTAATTGTTAAAGGCTCCTCTGGATATTTATCAGTGTACGTAAATTCTAATCGACATGCTAAACCATTTTCAGAATCTGGTTCGTGTTCCTCTGACTTTATTGGTATTGCAAATTTGTGAAAAGGTTCCGTCGCTATCACTGAAATTAAAACAATTACATTTAATTAACAAGTTAATTAGAAAGTAATAAATTCAAATGTAAACAATTTTTTATAAACTCTCAAATGCGGTATAAACATTTTAAAGTTAACCTTATATTATTTAGTAAAATTTATAATATATGATATAATAAAGAATTTACAAATATAGAAAAATTAATACAGTTTCGAATAAATTTCAATTTTACAAATACAAATTTTTATACATGATGATGAAATTAATAAAACTCCATATGTATATTATAGGTTAGGTTTGTGAATAAATTATATACCTTCCAATTCTCCACAATAAATATGTTCTAAAGCTTCAACTTCGTTGTTTTGTTCTTCTACGTAATCCATATTGACTAATATAAAATTTATTATCTATTTTAACTTATTTACACGAATTCATTTAATAATAAATTGTTTAAAACTTGCAAAACACACGCCGAGTTTTCGCTTTTCTCTTTTTTGTCGTCTGCACCACCGTGAGCCAATCATTTGCCAGGAAAACTGTCCACCAATCAAAATGCAGATTCAGTGGAAATGGAACAGCTGATCAACTGTCAGACACCGACTGTCAAAAGTGTCAAAAGTGTCAAAAGCAAGAGCAAGCAAGAGTAATAAAGATTTCTCATTTTAAAAAATTTATTTATTAAATATTCTACCCTTGTAAAGTGTAAAAATACTTTTAATTTGTTAGCAGAAAAGTTGGAAAATTAGTAAATAAAAAGTGTATAATCTTAATAATATCAAAGTTGTTGTAAAAGGTGAGCAATAGGTTATGTTTTTATAAAAATATTTATAATATTCAGAATAGAAGCAAATATTTACTTTTTTAATTAAAGTAAAAACGTCACAATTTTTGAGGCGCATGATTATTATTTTACATAATTTTAAATTAATTTTAATAATTTAATAAATAATTAAAAACACTCCCATTTTTTTATTTTTCGAAAATCAACAATTAAATATTTATTCAACATAAAAATAATTATTTTCCCTTTAGATTCAACGAAGAAATTAGATAAAAATGAGAAGAAAAGCTGGAATAGGAGCAATTCATAAACAAAAGCTCGAGCAAGAAAAATACAAAGACAAAGGTACAGAAATTCAGGAAAATCAATTTGAACAAATGACAAAACAAATGGAAACATTTCGCATAAATCTCGAAGAATTTGCAACAAAGCATAAAACAGAAATAAAAAAGAATGCACAATTTCGTCGACAATTCACCGAGATGTGCGCATCAATTGGTGTCGATCCATTAGCATCGGGTAAAGGTTTTTGGTCAGTACTTGGAATTGGTGATTTTTATTATGAACTTGCAGTGCAAATTGTCGAAGTATGTTTAGCAACAAATGAAAAGAATGGTGGTTTAATATCACTCGATGAATTACGCGAACGTTTAATTCAAGCACGAGGAAGACGTAAGGAACATCAGGAAATAACCAACGATGATCTTTTGGCAGCAGCGAAAAAATTGAAAATTTTTGGCAATGGCTTTTCCGTCGTTCCAATTGGTCGCGGTAAATATTTAGTGCAATCGGTACCTGGCGAATTGAGTATGGATCATACGGCGGTATTACAGCAAGTTAGTTTATCGGGAAATGCTTTTATTTCGAAAAGTGTTTTACAAAAGGAACTCAAGTGGGAGGATGGAAGAGCGGAGAAAGCTCTCAATCATATGGTTAAAGAAGGATTGGCCTGGCTCGACAATCAAGGAGAAGAAGAAATTTTATATTGGTTTCCAAGTTTGTTCACTGCTTGCATTATGTCGAAAGAATAGTTTTCATTTTTTTTAACTGTTAATTAATTAAGAGAATAATTTTACTTTAAATTTGAACTGTACGAAATTTTATTTTCAGAATAAAATAATAATTTTGTTATGGAAATATGTACAGTTTTATTAGTTAATTGTAAATGGTGTCATCTATTTTCATCGCCGTGATCGTATCGATGAATTGCTTGTACTCGATATCTCGCTAAATTTTCACGACACGACAATAATTCTTTATTTAAATTGTCATTTTCCTTTCGTAGTGCATTAATTTTACTGCGTAATTCTTTGGATCTTGTTTGAAATTTCGACGTGAGGGTTTTCGCCTCATTTTTCCATCTGAAAAGAAATTCATTTTAATATGGGAAGAAAAAATAATTTAATTAATTAATTACCTGCTACTTAGTTGTTGATGAATTTCAACAAGTTGTGTTAATTCTTTCGATTTTTCCTCAAATTTCTCCTGTTGCATTTTTAACCGCAAATCTGTGTTCACATTCGATATTTCTTCTATTCTGCAAAGGAAAATTTATTCTTAAAATGTAATTTTAAAAAAAAGTTGTATTTATATTACCGTTTTTCGTTTCCGCTGTTTTTTGTGTTGGTGGCCTTTCGTAGATCCTCCTGTAGATCACTGACTTTATTCTCCACTTGTCTTTTGTCTTGTTCACGAATTTGCATTTCTCGATCGAACATCGCTTGTAATGTGTGCAATTCTTTTGACAAATTCTCCTTCTCATCGAGTACACGTTCGAAACGTTTTTCTAAGTTTAAATATCTATTTAAAGATTCGTCAGACTTTGAACGATTATCAAAATCTCGGTAAATTTTTCCTTCTGGAAATAAATCATGTGAGGAGGACAAATTTTGTTTTTGTATTTCATTAATTCGTTGTTCTAGAATTTCATTCTTTTTCTTGTAAATTTTATCAAATGAATTTAATTTATATTCAGCGTCTTTTAATTTATATTCCGAGTCTTTTAATTTTTGTTCTAAATCTAAAATTCTTGAATTTGATTGATGTAAATAGTCGTCGGAACCTTGACGCATTTTATTTATTTCCTCCTCGAGCAATCTACATTCTCTTTGTGCTCTATCTAACAATGTTTCCTTTTGTTTCATTTCAACTTTTAATTCTTTTAATTCTAGATAATACTTTTTGATATTCCTATCGAATTCTTCTTTCACTTTATTCACTTCTTTTTCCAAAGAAATTTTATATTCCTCTGCAATATTATTTAAACGTACTTCTAATTTCATTTTCTCGTCTAAAATTCGCGTTTCCCGTTGTAAAGACATTTCTTTCTCTCTCACTGCCGATTCAACTAAATCAATTGCTTCGCATACTTTATTTTTTGCTTCACAATCTTTGGCGAGAACATTAGTTGCAAAACGTTGAGCGTCACTTAATTTTCTCTCCAATTCAATTTTATTTTGTCGTAATTTTTCACATTCGTTCTTCATTTTATTGAGATCTAAATTTAAAGTTTCGACAGTCTTTTGATTTATTCTCTCCTTCTCCAGAATTTCATGCTGTTGAAGACTAATTTTCTTTTGAAGTTCTTCTTTATCCTTTTTTAATTCCTCAAATTTTTCCTTATTCGATTCCCAGAGTATTTGGTGTTTCATAAAATTCTCTTTGGCTTGAATTAATTTACCCTCGAGGAGATTAATGGCATCGGAATATGATTGTTTAATACTGTTCACATGATCTTCGTTAAATTTTGAGGAACCTTTACCGTTTTTTTTAAATGTCTTGAGTTCCTCCTCAAGGACGTCTATTGCCTTCAATGACATTTGCCAGAGTTGAAACATTGAATCTTTTTCCATTTGTAGAACGACAATACGTTTCTCGAGATTCTCTAATATTTCCTTATCGGTGTTAATTCCACTGCACGTTTCAGATTGACAACGCACGAAACAATCTCTAGCAATATCACTCGCATTTTTACTCTCAGTGCGAAGTATCTCAAGTTCACGACGTAATTCAATTTGTTCGTTCTGTAAAAAAAAGAAATTCAATTTTAATTGGAAATTGAATATGAAAAGAAATAGAAATTAAATTAAAATTCACATTCTTCGAGTTTTACCTTACAAACGTCTAATTCTTCTTTCAAAGATTCTACGATATCCGCATATTCCTGAATTAGTAAATTATGATCTTCCATCCTAGTTTTGAATAACATATACAATAAATAAATTTTAATTCTTGAAAATTGTAAATAAAAATAAGAAAGTAACCTTAAAAACTCACCGGGGTTTTCTAATATCCGTTTCTGACTCCATTATTTTGTCCCCTAACATCACTTTTATAAATTTAAATACTACCTATTATTATGTTACATAATTGTAAAAACAATTTTGTTAATAAAACGTCATTTCATATTTATTTTACATCTTTTTTCAGATGTAAACATTAATTGTGACATGATTGTGACATAACTGCCATTGTGAAGGACGCTGTCTGGCCGCTGTCAAAACAATATTACGTGTTCCTTTCGATTGGTTGAAACAAACAATATAATAAACTGTCCACCAATCGTTATTTCTGTACAATTGCACAGTGAATGAATGGGACTTTAAAAAGTAGTGTGGACTCAATCTTAGTGACTGTCGGAATTCTTCTGGAAACATAACCTCAAACCGCGATCGTTTACCGCTCACCTGCTGCAATAATTTTTATTTAATTTAAAAAGTTTTTAATCAATAGTTTTAAAAAAATTGGTTTTTTACACTAACGTTAAATAACTATTTGTATTTCTTTACTTTTTGTATTCACTTTTACAAGAAAAACGAACGAAATTAAAAATGGAAGTTGTTCGTACAAGTAAGTATTTTATGATAAGAATTTTATTGTAAATAAAAGTTTTAATTTCTTTCTTATTTAATATTTTTACAATTATACCATTAAAAAGTAGTATAACTGTATAAAAAAGATTGTCTGATGAAACTTTTTCATTTGCTGAAATTGTTTCTTTAAAAAAACTATTTTTAAATATAATTTGTAATATTTGTTTATTCTAGACTTTCAAGATGTTATGGAGGAATTAGACAAGGTTCTGGAAGAAGCTTCATTTCTTTGCATTGACACAGAATTTACGGGTTTAAATGTGGGACCCGACAGTACACCTTTCGATTCACCAGCACAGTATTATTCAAGAATAAGATCAGGTTCAATGAATTTTCTCTTGGTTCAATTTGGACTTTCAGTTTTTACATTCGAGAATAAAACGAAAAAGTAAGCAAAATACTTTCTTTAAAAAAATGAGGAAAATTGGTAGGGGATCAGTTTTACCAATTTATTTTTTCCAAATATAATTTTACTAATTATCAATTTTTCAAAAATTTAAAATTTCCAAAAAATTTTCTTTCCAAAAAGAAATTTTCCAAAGACAAACAAGTCAGGAAAAAGAAAACATTCGAACTGATGGATTGGTAAAAGTGACCCCCATTCGAGAAATTATTAATTCTAACATTTTTTTTTATTATTTTACAGATACAGTCAACGTTCTTATAATTTTTATGCATTTCCACATCCTCTTAATCGTGGCGCACCTGATTGTCGGTTTATTTGCCAAGCTTCGAGCATATCATTCCTCGCCAGCCAAGGTTTTGATTTCAATAAATTATTCAACTCCGGCATTCCATTTTTAACAAAAAATGAAGAGGAAAGACTACAAAAGAAAATGGAGGATAAACAGAAAATTCGTGAGGAGGGACAAGAATTTATTCCTATTCCCGATCACGATAAGCCTCAAATCGAGGAAATTCTGTAAGTTCAAAGAATTTTAAGATTGAAAATTGTTATATAATTTTTATTGAAAATTATAAATAATTTTTTTGTTGAAAAGAAATTATTTTTTTATTGAAAAGAAATTATTTTTCTATTGAAAAGAAATTATTTTTTATTACAGATCGAAAATTAGCGAGTTCATTAAATCGGACGCAGAAAAGCTTTCAATCGATAGATGTAATGCATTTATTCGACGACTTGTTTATCAAGAAGTAAAGAGAAAATGGCCGAAGAAGCTTCATTTAGATTTTAAAGCAGAAGGTCTGAACCAAATTTTAGAAGTGACGAAAGTGGGAACAAAAGAGGAGGAAGAGAAAAAAGTTCTTGAACAAAAAGAAAAGGAACGATTAGAGATGAAAGAGGCAATTGGCCTAAGCGCATTGTTAAAGAAAATCTCTAGTTCGGTTTGTATAATTGAAAAAGATTTCATTCTGAAATATTTCTGTTTATGAATTTGAAAAAAATTAATTATTTACTTTTATAGGGAAAATTAATTGTTGGACACAATATGTTACTGGATCTGTGTCACGTTATTCGACAATTTTTTAATCCATTACCCGAAACTTATTCTGAATTTAAAGCTCTCGTCCATGGACTTTTTCCCAAGTATGTAAATATTTTTCTATTACTTTTTCACTTTTTATTTAAATATACCTACATAATAATGTATAAATACTATTTTAAAAACTAAAGGATAATTTATATTATTTCAATTTAAATAATTTAAATAATTTTGTATTTAAATTTTAATTAATTTAGCTAATAATTTGTAGTAAGAAATAATTTATCTATTAATACAAAATTGATTTTTTATTGTAGAATAATTGACACGAAAATAATCAGTCAATCGACGCAATTGAAAGATAAAGTTCCTTTAACGAATCTACAGTATCTTTTGGATACTTGTAGTAAAGAGCCGTTTTCAATTCCGGAGGTGATTCCGGTAAAAGATCGCAGTTATTCAACTTCGATAGAAAAAAGTCACGAAGCCGGATATGACGCATATATGACTGGCTTATGCTTCATAGCCATGAAAAATTATCTCGGTGAGTGAATCATTATTTAAAAAGAATTTTAAAATTAACAGGCCTCGGATAATACAAGTTTTACGGCTTATTTTAAAAAAAGCTATTATTTCGATTTTTCTCCCACATATTAAAAACATTTTATACCAGAAATTGGCAATTACCAGTTACTTTATTTTTACAGTAAAATGTTACTTATTTTGATTTTCAAAATGTAAAAAATAACTATACAGTCGTAATTTTTCCTTTAAAATTTCTTACATTATTTTGTAAGTCTTTTAACGCATAAAACAGACTTTTTGTTATAAAAAGTGAAATTATCATTCTTTAAAATAAATTTTTTACATTTAGTTTTAGTTTTTAATACTTTTCTAAATCTTTTTTTAAGTTAGACTTTCTTTTTACATATTTATATGAATCTCGACAAAAATAGAATTGCCACAGATTTGAGAAATCAGGAAATTATATCCATAGTACGAGTGAAAAAAAGTTAAATTTCTAGAAATGTTACAAAAATTTTAGTTTTCGATGAATTTTAAAATTAAGAAAAACCTTAAACTATTCTTGAATTTTCTTTTTTAGTTTAAAAACTAAAAAGAAACAATAAAAAGTTAGAGTTTCAATTTGTATAAAAAATTGAATTTTTGTATTTAAATAATTAAATTCTCAAAGAAGTTTTTAAAAATTATTCAAAATAATTGATTAAGAGAAAAAAATTAATAAAAAATTTGAGAAAATATTTGCATTCAAAAAAATTTATATAAGATTAGCAGAAATTTTCAGAAATAATTGAATGAATGTATCAAATTCAAAATGAAGATTTGAATTTTGGATTAATTTACTTACAAATTTTATAAAACTTAGTTCTTTAAAAGATTTTAATTTAATTTTTTTTTAATTTGTTATTTATTACTAATTTTTCGAAATTTTTGAATATATTTTCAAATAAAAAATTTCAAATAATCGAAATTTTGAGAAACTTATATAAGAAAAATTGAATTTAAAAATGAGGAATTTTAAATGAACTATTTTTTTCTGAATAATTCAATTCTCAAGGAACTTATTGAAAATTACTAATAATAATTATGTAATTTAGAAGAGAATTTTAATTAAAAATTCCATAAAATAATTGAATTTTTGGTGAAGGTATAGAAGTAATTTTGATAAATAAATAAATTTCAGAAGGTTTCAATTCAAAAAATTTTGAAGATGTCAATTGATGTAGAATTTTTGGACAAGGTATAGAAGTAATTTTGAGAAATAAATAAATTTCAGAAAGTTTCAATTCAAAAAATTCGGAAGATGTCAATAATTGATGTAAAAGTTTAAGTATCTTTAAATACTTGTTTTAAAAAATTATTGATCTTTTAAATAATTAAATAATTTTTAGTTAAAAATTCTTGGAAATAATTAAATTTTGTATTATTTTTTTAAAAGTAATTAAATTTAAGAATGTTAGAAATTGAAATTTAGAAAAAAAATTTCACATGTGTGGCAAAATATATTACTACATATAAATATTTAAATATTTATTTAACAAAATTATTAAGCTTTTAAATAATTGAATTCAGAAAATCTGAAAAAATTAGGTTTTTGAAAAATATTAATTAAAATTTTTTGAAGATAATTGAAATCTCGAAAGTAATCAACTGAAAGAAACTTGTTAATTTTTGTCAAATTTTATTAAAATAAACTTTATATTTTGAAGAATTTTAATCCATTTTTTTAAAATAGTCGTATTTTTGAGAAAAATGTAAAGATATCTATGTAAAAAAAAATATTTTAAAAATAATTGAATTCAACATAAACTTGGAATTGAAGTTACTTTTTTTAAATTTACTTTTATGTTATTTTAACTGTAAAATTAACGGAATATAAGAAAAAATAAATATTAAAAACTTTTCTGGAAATTAGGGAAATACGAAATCAGATTTTTGTGACAATCGGAAATAAAAATAATCGACTTTTTCGACTTTTTCGACTTTTTTGTTTACTTTCAATAGAGTAAAAAGACTTCTTTTTGCATTTTAAAATCGATTCGAGGCCTAAATAAAAGACTTGCATTTTTTTTGAAATTTTATTTAGTGAAATATTTCTTTAAATACTTATTTAAGGAGTAATTTCTGTTCTGTTTTTATAAATAAAAATGATAATTTTTAATTATTACATTGTTTTTTATTAAATTGTAATTCAATTTTTAACATGTTTGATATTTTCAGGTACTTTGGAAAGTCCTGCAGTAGATACGGTTCTTTGCGACTCGCCGTTATTAAATCCGTTTTTGAACAAGTAAGTTTATATCTTTTAAAATATTTTATTCGTGTTTTGAAATTTTATTATCTTATTTTCTATCTATTTTACTTTTATTTTATTATTATAGTATTTTACGAATGTATCCAATGGAGAAAAATGACAAATTTTTGGTAAAATTCAATGTTTTAATGGAAGTATTTAAACAAATTGATTTTTAACAAAAAGTAAAATTTAAAGATATAGAAAATGATAAAATTTCTTAACCTTTAATAAAGGATAATAATAAATTTAAATAATTTCCTTTTTACAGACTCGTCATCGTTAGGTTAAAAGACGTGCCACATATTAACTTAGTTGGAAATGATCGTAAGCTTTTCTAATATAAAAAAATTATTGTTTCGGAAAAATAAAAAATAACAAATAATAATTTATTTCAGCCACACCCAGTAGAGATCATGTATTTTACATAACGTTTCCACGTGAATGGAAAGGAAATGACATATCAAAACTTTTCACTTCTTATGGTAAATTTTTTTACACTGTTTCGATTTTTCTTTTTTTTGGAGGAAAAGAAAAGAATTTTTTTTCTTATAAAATTTTTTGTATTTCAGGTGGTGTTTTTGTTTCCTGGTTGTCTGATACGTCGGCCTTTGTTAGTTTGTACAAAAGAGATCAAGTGAAAAATGTTCTCAAGAATGTGAAGAATACGAAATTTTTCCATATTAAAAAATTCGCCGAACATCAAAAAGCAATAGAACCAGCGGAGCAAGGACTACGAAAACGTAAATTAGAATCGACCGAGTAAGTAATTTTTTCTTTACATTTTAGCCGACAGGAAAATGTTGAAAGTAATTTTTATTTAATTTATTTTTTACATCTCTAAAATTTATACTGTGTAGTTTAGTTTTGACAACCCGCTTTCTTAGACTTATCTCGAATACCTTAGATAATTTCGAAAGAAAAATAATATATAAGCGCATAGGCAATGTCAGACTCTTCGTAGTCTACTGGTTTACCATAACTTAGCAAGTGCTTGTAAGCCGTTCTGCAATTGCATATGCAGACCCCTTTGGTCTTCTCCTCCTTTTTTTTCCTACAGGGCGACCGTAGTTCACGCAAAGTATCGAAAGAGAAAACCAATAAGAAAATAAATATAAAAAAAAATCAACTCGTTCACTCGCGCGTTATCGTCCATGAGTAACCGCGTTAATAATTTCCAGAGTTCGTTCTCTCTACCTGTTGGCCCTTCGAGATTTCCTGTACACAGGTAAATTAGCATAGGGCCGTAGACTTAGTCTTGAATTAATGCTTGTGATTCTCGTTACACGTGTTTTTATGCAAAACATCACGTCACGTGATCTCTCGCGTACACTCGCTCTCGATAAATCAGAATTTCTTCCTTCTTGCGAAAATACTTTACTAGCTTATATCCAATCTCAAATTTTTAGAACATAAAATATATAGACTGATTTTCAAAAGCGATCTACACGCAATGGTTAAGAGAATACATAAAAAAAAGAATAGAGAGAAAAAAGTAAAATACTTAATATTGGATTATTTAAAAAATAATCCAATTTTCTCAAAATTTCTTAAATAATTATTAAATGTAAAATAAATAAATATTAATTATTTTTGCAAATAAAAATTAACTTTTTTCTTTTTGAAATTGAAATGAAACGTGAGGTGTTTATAAGTAATTCACGAGCCGTATATAAATTGATTTAAATTTATTTACATCGACGCGATATATTTGCATGACTAAAAGCATTTATCAATCATTTATTGGCTGGCATAAAAGATTGAACTTTAATGTCAAATTATCGTTGGTGCTTGTTTAACTTATTTAATTCAATACTTAATTTCCAGTAATGAATAAACGATTAACTTTTAATGCCGCCTTCCTTTAAAACGACAAGTTCGTTTGAGTACTTCCTCGGCTGTTTTATATAGGCGCACCCAATCGCGGTTCATTACTGAACAAATGAGCCGCCTTTGCCCGCGTGTGTGAATAAAATCAACAACTTACGAGGTATTACGTATTGATTAGAATAATGTAACATGCGCCTTCATTTCCAACTCTCAAAATGCAAATTTCGCGCATCTTTGATTGGACAAGTGAATTGAACTCTTTGCGAGAAAAATAAAGAGAATTTGTCGTTTGTAGTAGAAAGAAAAAAATTTAGAAAAGTGGTTTGAAAATTAGAAATTATATTAATTACCTTTCTATTAATTACTGAATTTTTACATTAACATTTAGTTTTTTTAACAATTTTTTTTTGACGAATTTTTTTGTTTCCATACATTGTCCTTTGGTAGCGATTTTATTTAGCATAATTTCTTTTTTATTAAAAAATTTTCATTCAATGGAATTCTTAATTTTTTCGAATTTCCATTTGACATAATTTTTATTTTAGAGAATTTTCACTAAAAATAATTTTCATTTCGTAAAATGAAAATTCTCTTAAACAAACGAACAAATTGTTTTCAATTAAAATTCAGTTAAATGAGAAACATTTAGCTGAATTTTAATCGAAAACAATTTGTTCGTTTGTTTAAGAGAATTTTTATTTAATGGAATTTTTAATTTTTCCGAATTTCCATTTAGCAAACTTTTCATTATAGAGAATTTTCACTAAAAAGAATTTTTATTCAGTCAAATTTGCTCATTCAGCTGAATTTTAATTGAAAGCAATTTTTATTGAGTTCTTATTTAGTCAAACATTCTCATTTAGACGAATTTTAATTAATAAACAATTTTTTTTTATTGAATTTGTATTTAGTCAAAATATGAATTAGTGGAATTTTTATTTAGCTGAATATTTATTTAACACAATTTTAGCCAAATGTTTCAAAATTCTAATGAAATAAAAAGAATTTTATTTCGTTTTTTGAAAATTTAGCTTGAAGAAATGCAATTAATTAAAAAAAGTACGTAAAATAAAAATTGTGTATAAATATAATTGAGTATAATAAAAAAATTCTGTTTAGTTAAAAATCTGAATAAAAATTCAACTAAATAAAAATTCTGTTCAAATTTAATAATTATTTTGAATTAAAATTTCAGGGATCATAGATTGTCACCTCACCTTTTTTTCACCTTTTTATTTTTTTTTAAATTTTGGCACCTACATTACCTATTTTGTAAACTTTTTATAATAGTTTTGAAATTTTTTAATTAATTTAAATATTTAAATTCATTTAGATTCTAAATTGTTCATCCTGCGACGAATTTCACTAAAATTTTTAAAAATCAATGAAGTTTCTAGGAGATTTTTATTAAAATTTTGTAAAGTAATTGAATTTTTGGGAAAAATTTTATTATTTATGAAGATAATTGAATTGTTGAGAAGAATTTTTTTAAAAATTTATTATAATTACATTTTTTTAAGAATTTTAATTAAGAATGCATTCAAAATTATTGAGTTCTTCTAAAGAACTTTAAAACAATTTTGGAAAATAATTGAATTCTTTAGAGAAATTTTATTAAAAGTCCATAGAAAGTAAATGAATTCTTGCGAAGAATTTTATTATTCATGACGATAATTTAATTCTTAGAAAGAATCTTCTTAAAATTTTTAAAAATAATTAATTTTTTGACAAGAATTTTGTTATTTAAAAAGTTAATTGAATTCCAGTCAAGCATTATATTAAAATTTTTAAAAATAATTGAATTTTTGCGAAGAATTTTATTATTTTATAAATAATTCATAAAATTAAAATAATTAAATTCTTGCGAAAATTTTTTTTAAAAGTTTCGAAAGTAACTGAATTTCTGCGAAGAATTTTATTATTTATGAAAATAATTGAATTCCTTGGAAGGAATTTTAAAACAATTTTGATAATTAATTTCTTTCAAGAATTTTACTTAAAATCCAAAGAAACCGAATTCTTATAAAGAACTTTATTAACATTTTTCTTACGAAGATTTCTTACTAGGAATTTTATTATTTATAAAGACAATTGAATTCTTGGGAAGAATCTTCTTTAAATTTTTGAAAATAATTGAACTTTCGCGAAGAATTTTGTTATTGAAGAAGACAATTAAATTCTTGGTATGAATTTTATTAAAATTTTTTGAAAATAATTGAATTTAATTATAATAATTAAAATTATGATTTTTTTTTGTCACCAATTTGTCACTTATTTTAAGAAAATAATTCACCTTTTCACGTCTACTTTAATTGAAAATGATACTGTGATCCCTGATTAATTTTTTCTAATTTCAGATTATTTTTTGTGTAATTTTTTAATCGTTAAAAATTATATTTTCTAGGAATAAACTTAGATTTATATGAACACATATGAGTTGAGTGTGCGCAAAACGAACAAACAAAAAAAAAAAATTCCAAAGATTTTCAAGGAAGGGAGAAGACAATTTTTTTCGTAATAAATCACATAAAATGTGAATGAAGCGCAGCGCGTGCAAGCTGCCTTCACTCGACAGTCATGATTCAAACGTTAAAGCGAAATACAGTACTATGCAAATTAGCGTTGTGTCGCATATACGATAGTGTACCTGCAATCCCGATGTTTATTCCTATCTATATTTGGAGTATGGATTACAAGACATTGAGAGAATGAAAAGAAAGCTCATAGGGAAAAAGAGTGTGTGTATGTGTATTTTTTTTGTGTGTATGCGAGAAAGAGAGAAAGAGACAATGTTTCCTGAACATTTCAAGACACTATCAACCTTTTGTATGGGGAAAAATCACTTGTTTCTCTTTATATACTGTAGAAAAGTTCATAAATTTAAAAACACGATGGACAATGTGTTCTTGAAAGATGAACACAGAATTTTCAGAATTAATGTACGATGAAAACGAATTTATTAAAATTTTATTTTAATATTATGCTAATATAGTAGAGAAAATTGCGCTTTTTTTAAAAATACTTTTCACGACTGTATAGAAAAATGGAAATAAAATATTATGTATTTTTTACAGTAGAAAAGTAATTGATTTGATTTTTCCTTGTAATATATGATGATTTTATTCATAAGTTGAATTTTGTATTTGTATTTTTTTTTGAGACTTTGCACTACTTTAAATTCGCTATTAATAAAATTTCACAAAGGAATTAAATTATTTAAAAAAAGTTTTAATAAAAATTAAAATTCCTCGCAAACATACGATTATTTTAATGAATAATAAAATTTTCACCGGAATTCAATTATTTAAAATACAATTTTCATAACATTTTTCAGAAACAATCAATTATTATTTAAAAAAATCTTTTCTAAATTCTAAATTTTCCACAAGAATTAAATTCTTTTTTAAAATAATAAAATTCTTTATAAAATTTTTATTATTTTAATAAATATCAGCATTTAAATAACATTTACAATAAATAATGAAATTCTTCTTATGAATTTTAATTCCTAAGAAGAATTTCATTATTTTTGAAAATTTTAATAAAATTTCTGACAATTTTTTTCAAACATAATAGAATTTTTATAAGATTTCAATGATTTTCACAAATAATAAAAATTTTCAAGAGAGTTCAATTACTTACAAAAATTTGAATAATATTCTTCGCAAGAATTAACATTCTTATAATAAATAATGAAATTCTTCTGAGGAATTCAATTATTTTTGAAAATTTTAATAAAATTCTTCACAAATTAAATTTTTTTTTCAAAAATAATAAAATTCATCGCAGAATTTCAATTATTTTTAATACAATTTAAAATAAATTTTACGAAAAATTCAATTATTTTTGAAAATTTTAATAAAATTCTTGGAGAAAATTCAATTACTTTAATAAATTTTTTTAAAATTCTTTACATAAATTCAACTATTATTATTTAACACTTGTTGCTATTTTTTTAAAATTAATTATCGAGTGCGATGCCTATACTTTATTTTTTCTTTCCTCTTTTTAAGATTTTTTATTCTCTTTCTTTCTTTCTTTCTTCATTTTCCTTTTTTATTAATATTAAAATATTTAATAATCGAAATAAATCTAAAGTTAAAAAAAAAAATTTTCAAATAAAAAATTTTTTTTCTATTTTCTTGGTATTTATAAAAACGAAATTCACAATTAATTGAAAGTTGAATTCACTTCTTTCCTTAAAAGGACAAAAAAGCAAACATGTTACATTATTAATTTATTGATTCGTCGATGATCGTAAAAAGTTATATGTTCCTCTTTATTTTCTCATGAGGTAAATTATAGAAACTGTGAAACAAGAAGAAAAAGGATAATGTTTGGATGATGTAAGATTATTAATGAAAAAAAGATAAAAGAATTTCTGTAAAAAAAAATGAAACTTCAGTTTCTCCCACAGGAACAGGTATATAAGGGGAAGAAAGCGGTGGTGGATTTCCATGCATAATGCGAATAGACGTTTGCGTACACCTTTTCTCTTTCTTTTGATACACAGCTGCATCTTGGCAACGCCCTCGGGATTGCACGTAATGAGTTGTACACGCTTCTCCATTTTCTTTCTTTCTCTCTCTCTCTCTCTCTTGGCTCTTGCTTTTTTATTTAAAAAAAATCGACGAGTCTCTTTGGTTTTGTATGGAATGAGTAAAATTGTTTGAGTTAGTTCCTACTTTGCCTTTCTATCGACCTCTTATCTTTTGTAAATGAATCAGTAACGATCCATCGAGAATTGCATTTTAATTTTTTTCTTTTCTTCATTGAAAAGAAGAAAAAAAAGTATCAATGGAATTTACATTGACTTGAACTTTAGAGTTCATAGAATTTTTGTACAGTTGGATTTTTATTTAGCGGAATTTTTTTTACTGGATTTTTATTCAATAGATTTTTGTACAGTTGAATCTTTATTTAGCGGAATTTCTTTTTCTACTTCAATAGAAAAATTTGTTAAATAAAAATTCATTTTTATTTAACAAATTTTTTTTCAACTGAATTTTTATTTAATAAGTGAAGTATTCTTCAAGAGCTCAAAAATAGTGAAGCTAAATACCATAAAAGAGAAGAAACAATTTTGAATTTTAAAAAATTCGTTTTTTCGAATTTTTTACAATTTTTAATAATTTTAAATTTTTTACCAAAGGATGGAGACTATGTAATAAATAAAGTATTTTTGAAGAGCACAAAAATATTAAAGCTAAATGCAATAAAAAAGGAGAAAAAATGTTGAATTTTAAGAAATTCGGTTTTTCGAATTTTTCATAATTTTTAATATTTTTCAATTTTTTACCAAAGGATGAAGACTATTAAATAAGTAAAGTGTTTTTGAAGAGCACAAAAATAATGAAGCTAAATGCCATAAAAAAGAAGAAAAAATGTTGAATTTTAAGAAATTCGGTTTTTTTAATTTTTGATAATTTTTAATAAATTTAGATTTTTTATCAAAGGGTGGAGACTATTTAATAAATAAAGTGTTTTTGAAGAGCACAAAAATATTGAAGCTAAATGCAATAAAAAAGGAGAAAAAATGTTGAATTTTAAGAATTTCGGTTTTTCGAATTTTTCATAATTTTTAATAAATTTAGATTTTTTACTAAAGGGTGGAGACTATTTAATAAATAAAGTGTTTTTGAAGAGCACAAAAATATTGAAGTTAAATGCAATAAAAAAGGATAAAAAATGTTGAATTTTAAGAAATTCGGTTTTTCGAATTTTTTATAATTTTTAATAATTTTAAATTTTTGTACCAAAGATTTTTTACCCTTATTTTTGCTAAATAAAAATTCTATTAGTGGAAATTTTACGTAAAAATTCTTTTACATGGAAATTCTGCAAAATTAAAATTCTATTATTGGAAATTTTACTAAATGAAAACTCTTTGAAATATTAATTATGCTAAATAAAAATTCTAGGAAATAAAAATCAGCACAATATTTTTGCTAAATGAAAATTCTTTTAGGTAACTGGGAATTCTGTTAAATAATAATTTTATTAAATGAGAGTTCTGCTAAATAAAAATTGTATTTCTGCTAAATAAAAATTTGCATTTCTGCTAAGTAAAAATTTGTTCGTAATAATTAATCTACTAAACAGAATTTCTGTTAACTGACAATATTGGTTAAGTGAAAATTCCTTTGAAAAGAAATTCTTCAAAACAATTATTTAAGCAAATTAGCTAATTAAATAGAAATTCTATTAAATTAATTAATTAATTCTATTAAATTCTATTAAATTATCTTTCATTTTTTGAATAAACTATAAATAAGAACGAAGCAGAAAAGATGAAAGCAAATGTGTCCATAAAGTATTGCAAAATTAATCTTTTTTTTTCAAAATAATATTTCGTAAAAGAAAAAAAGTTGAAAAAACAATTTCATCAATCAAAATTTATCTTCGCTGGATTAATTTATAAAAATGAATCCTGAGTGAGTTTCTGAACTTTTTTTTTCTTTTTTTTTGGTCTCTGTAGTTTTTTTCTTCCTCAGAAGTGCTTATCCTAGACGTTCATCAAGTCATGTTTTAAATATCTATTATCATCGAGAGTCTGTGTTTCATCTCATGAACAACCTGCACCTAGGATTTCAGTTAGCAAGATTGCCACCTGAAATACGCCCATGAATTATCGTCCTGTCAAGTATTCTATTCCAATCCAAGCTCTGGTCATTAGTCAACTCTGTATAACAGTATAAGTCGTAAGCACTAAGCCAATCGACTATTCACCTAACCAGTGACAGAAAACGATAGCAATGCTCCACGATGATTGCGATTGATTGATTGACTTGATATCCACAACCCACTCTGGAATTGCGCCTTTATAGTATAACTTAACTCCAAACTCTATACGCAGAAGGAAGAGAGAAAAATAAAAAAATTTAATTCCTCTTTCTCTCTCTCTCTCTCGCTTTTTTCTCTTCTTTCTAGAATTAAACAAGACATTTCGAAAAGCAAATAAACAGAACCTTGACAATTCCCATTGCAATGCTTACATTAATTACTTTGAAGCGATTCGTTAACGAAGTTCTGTTCAAGTACAAGGTGCAATCAAGATTTTTTTCCTCCGGACATTTTTTACTCTGCTACAACAGTTATATATCTAGAAAGAGAGATTTTAAAATTGGACTAGATGTGTAACTATAATTTGTGAACTTGTTCTTGGAATAGAATTTTTTGAATTTAATAAGGTGGGGAATTTTTTTTTTTTAAGTGCACTGTCTAATTACAGGTGGCTCGTAATTTCATCAGATTGAAGCTAATCCTTTTTCTTGTATTTCAAGGAGAAAATATATTTCTCATCATTTTTTTTCTTCCATTCGTCTATAAAAAGTTGGTAATAATAATATTGAAATGAGAGATCGTGCAAAATATTAAGCGATCGACGATCATTACATGCACATATATGCTCACTTTATGACCTTCCAATCACGAATTCTATTATTTCGATGTAATTGAAATTTATGACAATAAGTAGATTTCAATTATCCCTTATTTTAGGAATGTGGGTATAAAATATGCATAAAATATTTAACATTCGATTTAAATAAAAATTTAATAAAAAATAATTTTTTTTATTGCATTATTATTTTTTCTATTAATATTAATAAATATTAATAATAACAGTTTCATTGTTCGAAAGTTTTTAATTTTAATTATATTCAAAAACTTCAAACTTAATTTCAAAAAAAAATTTGAACTAAAATTTTCCAAAAAACTGTTTTTTACAGTTTTTAAATTAAATTTCAAAATTAAATTTATTTAATTTAATTTAATTTGATTTAAAAATTCAAATTACTAACCGGGAAATAGCCGAGAATTTAATTTGACCGGGAAAAACTGGAAATAAGCCAGAAATTTTATTTCAAACCGGGAATTTTTTCACCAAATTAAAAAAAGCTTTATTATTTTAAATTGTTTTTAAAAAATCGCTTTTTATTTCAATTTTTATAGATATTTCTACTGTTCTCTAAATTTGAATTAGTTAAAAATAATTAATTTGATAGTAAAAAATCAGTCACTGATTCAAATATAGTATGTAAATAAATTTTTAAAAAAATTATTGAATAAATAGAAATTTTGTGAAACTCAACAGAAAATAATTATATTTGTTAAAGAATTTCATTAAATACTTTTTAACAAATCGAATTTTCAAAGTAATTTAATTTAATAATGGATAAATAATTGAATTTTGTAAAGAGTCACATTCTAATGTATTCATGCTTCTTTGTGCGAAGATTAATAATTAAAATTTTTATTAGTTAATTTAAAAAAAGATTAAAATTTTTTAATAAAATTGAATTTTGGCAAAGATTTTTTTTTTAAATTCTACAAAATACGATTTATGAAATTTTTCAATTCTATTGTTTCAAGATAATTCAAGATAATTATTCAAGATAATTGAATTTTTATAAACAAATAATTGAAAATTTGTGAAATAATTGAAATTTCTTTACATTCTATTAAAAATAATTAAATTCTTTCAAAGAATTTTATTTAAATTTTTCGATAATAATCAAGGGAAGTTAGTCCCTTCAGTTAGTTATAATTTTATTTTTAAAAATTTCTTCCCAATATCTCATTGCAGAATTTCAATTATTTTTAATACAATTTTAATCAAATTCCTCGAAAAATGTAATTATTCTTAAAATTTTTTTTAAATTCGTCGAAAGAATTCAATTATTTCAAGAAACTGTAAAAAAATTCTCCTCAAGAATTTAATTATTTCCATAAATAGCAAAATTCTTCAGATTTACTAATTTCTTTTGAATATTATTTTTAAAAAAAAAATTTCACAAGAATTTAATTATTTTCATAAATTTCCATAAATTTCTTCGCAGAAATTCAATTATGTTTAAAATTTATTTTTAAATTCTCCTCAAAATTTCAATTATTTTTTTAAATAATTAAATTGTCCTCCACAATTCAATTATTTTCAAAAATTTTATTAAAATTCTACGCTAACATTTAATTATTTTTATAATTAATAACATTCTTTGGAAGGATTCAATTACTTTTATAAATAGTAAAATTCTTTGCAGAAATTCAATTGGTAACAATACATTTTAATAAAATTGAATTAATCTAATTTTCAATTATAATTATGAACAGACAAGATTATTTTAAAAAATTGAAAAAATTCTTTGTTAAATTCAATTATTTTTTAAATTTTTAATTAAAATTATTAAAAAAAACATTATTTTCAAATAATTTAAAGAAACTCGTCAAAAAAATTTAATTAATTAATTAATTAATTAATTAATTAATTAATTAATTTAATTAATTAATTTAATTTAATTTTATTTTTTTTTATTTTTTTAAATTTTTTTTTTTTTTTTATTATTCATAAAAACTCTATTAAAAATTTTTTAAAGCCATTTGTAGATTTATTTATGTTCGAAATCAAATAAATTTAAATTTGATGAGAAAAAAAAACTGGGAAAAATTTGAACAAAGCCGGGAGAAAACCGGGAATAGCGAAGAAATTCGATTAATTAAAAAAAAAGAATTTAATCATAAAATAAAATACACTTTTTCAGATAATCAGAAATATTTATTAAATTTAATTAAACTTTTTTCTTCCAGGATTGACAAGAACCAGGCGAATGGTTCTGAAAAAAATACTGAAGAAGGTTGGGAAACAGTTGAAGGTATTCAAAGTTTCTTTACACATTTAAGTCGTAGAGATTTCTTTTCAATTCTAGTACTAATTTTTGTGATCTATCTTTACATTTTTGTGGGAGTAAACAAAAAATAGTTTATAAAAAACTTTTACTATTTTTTATAACATAAATATTGACTGATAAACAGTTTATTGATATTTAATATTTCTTTTTTTACTAAATATAATATGTATTATTATTACTTTTTTACCATTCAAATTGTTATAATAATTCTCTTTTTATTTAAACTCATTTTTTATAAGCAAAAGATAAAGAAAAAATAAAAAAAGTGGACAAAAAATAAATAATAGATAAGTAAAAGACAAATGAAAGAAAAATAAATAGTAAATAAAAGAAAAACAAATGATAAACAAAAAAAGAATAAAAAAATTAACAAACAAAAACAAAAGATATACAGAAAGAGTAATATAATAGAGAATTATTACATTAATTATTAAATTATGATTACTTAAGTAAAAATCATATTCAAATAATGTGAGAAACTATTGACGAATTAGTGATATAATGATTGTGAGATAATATTAGTTTTTACATTTGTTTGTTTAAAATTACTGTTTGAGATATTTAACACAATTCGATGATAAGATTAGAATTATTTTTTAAGAATAAAAGGTAATTTGAGACGAAAAAAATATTTTTATTTTTTCAATTAAGTTAATTTTGCATAACATAATTTTTTCACCCTTAGCTGTGCTAAGTTTTCGTATTTTATTAAACTTTCATTCTATACTTCCGTTTTTTACACTTTTTGCTTGACTTTCCATTATTATTATTAACCATTTGACAAAATTATGAAATATTTATAATTCTTTTATATTTATTATTGAAACGATATTGATTCTGTCACATGAATATAGATACACTTTGCAAGTAAATAATCGTTTTTATATTTATAATAACAAATGTTCTCTGTGAATAAAAATTTTTTTCAATAACACTTTACATGACTTTTTAATGAAAAAATATTCTTATAAACAGTTTTTTTATTTCTATTAATTATTAAATTATTCCATTAAATACTCAATTATTTTTTTTGTTATATAATATACTAAATAGAGTGAAATTAATTTAATTTTGGTCTATTTTAAAGGAATTCAATTAGTTGATGTGATTAAAAATTAAACAAAGAAAACACATTGAATTATGAAAAATAAGAAATTCTTCAATTAAAAATTATTTAGTTCTCAGAAATAAATAAATTATTATTTCTGTAAATTGTTTATGTATACTTAAAAAATATTTATATTAATTTAATTTATTATCAACGCAAACGTGAGTGTAAACGAAATTATTTTCTTGATATAGGAAAAAGACGACGAAAAAGAAAGGTTGAATCAAATGAACACAAGGAACAAACTCAAGAGAAGGCATTTGTCGAAAATGACAAGTGGTAAAAAGAATTATTCAGGATTCGTAATTTTTCAACACACACATTTATTTCCATTTACCGAAAGGATTGAACTTTATTTTTACATTCAAATTTTTAGGCAAACGTAGAAATTTACAAATTATAATAAATTTTTCTATTCATATAATAATTACAATAATTTTCTATTTTTCTACATAATGCATATAAATATTTTTCTTATGCAAGAACATTTTTTTTTCGACTTTTTAGTTTTTAAAATCTAAACTATACACAATAAATGCACTTTTTTTGTACAAATAAATTCTTGTTTATATAAAAGTGAAAAATAAATTAATAAAATGTAATAAATAAAATGAAATAAACGTTAATAAATAACTTTTTTCTATTTGAATTTTTTTCTTACTTTTTTGTATCGAATCTTTTTCTAATTTTTGTCTATCAAAATTGTTTCTAAATTTTTTCTGTCTAATTTTCTTCTATTAAATTTGTTTCTAATTTTTTTTTTATAAAAAATTTATTTCGAACTAACTTTTTTTGTATATTGAATATTTTTTTCAATATTCGAATATTTTTTCGACTCAGAAAATATTTACAATAATTATTGATTTATATATTTTTTAATTAACTTAATAAACTTCATTTAGCACGTAATATATTTTCTCTCTGATACAAAATTTATTACTTTATATAATGATAAATGTAGTTATAAATTACAAATGTTATGTTTTGTTTTTGCCGAGTCTGTTTCTCTTTAATCAGAGACACTTTAATTTTGTTTACTTTCAGAAGTCCTTTTAGTTTCGTTCTATTTTCCATAACGAATAGATCAAAAGTGTTTAAATTATAAAATTTTCGAAAAATTCGCAACGAATTATTTTTCTTTTAATTTTCGTATTTTTTTGTTTTAGTAAAAATTTTTTTAGTTACGTACATATTTTTGTGCAGTTCGGTTTAAAAAAATAATTAGAAATTGGAAAATTTTCAAATAATTCAGAACGAATTTTCTTTCTTGTAATTAGTTAATGTTTTTTTAATCTTCAAGTTTAATTTTTGTGTTTTTGAATATTAGTAAAATTTTTCTTAGTTGCATATACTTTTTGCAGATTAAATTCTGTAATAAATAAATAAATAAATAAATAAAAATAAAAAATATATTTTTTATCGAATAGTGAATTATTCACAATCTGTGCTTCCGAGTGAATTGGAATTATTTAAAAAGAAGGAAAATGGATTATTAAATAATTTTATCAGTGTTTTTCGATGTAAAAATTTTTTTTACTATGTTAAACTTTCCTGTTTTTTTACATTACATTTTTACTCAACAATTGTGGTGATAAATTTTAACAATAAGAAGAATGCATCGAGAAAAAGAAAGAACTACTATCGATACTAGTCCTATTTATGAAACTTCATTGAGCAGTATTTTTCATGATCCCAGACGTCTGCTGGATTTCCAAAGACTTTCGGTAAGTTCTATTTTCTTTTTTTTTCACTTTATTAAATTTATTTTATTTTTACCCAAATATTTATTTTATTCTTACTTTATTACAATCTTTTTTTAGTTTTACATATTTTTTACTACAAAATTATTTTTTATTTTGTAAAATATATAACAAGTGTAATTCTTTATTTTATTTTTCTTTTAGTTTTATATTTTTTTCAATTACAAGTTTATTTTTTACTTGTAAAATAAAACAAGTAAAAATATTAATCAATAACATAGTAAACAGCACCAATTTGGTAATTTAATCGGAGAAAATTTGTCACAATCTGAAAAGTAATAATTAATTCTAATTATTCACTAATTTTTTTATGGTAAAAGTCGAAAAATTGTTGTGTCACGTTGAACATTTTTGGGATTTCCAAGGGCATTGCATTTTCAAATCCAAGGCACATGCCGCATAGAAACCCCAACTCTGCAACAACGAAATCCATTTTCTCTTTTTTTTTTCTTTTTTTTCTCACTCCTCAGGAACTCTCCCAACAAATTAATATTTTTCAAGAAAAAAAAAAGTTTTAATCTTGATGAATTCACTGGAACAAATATCGATTGCTGTAATAATAAATAATAAACAATAAAACATATTCAATCGAAAGAATATTTATATATAATCTATTTGCGGCACTTTAGTTGCAAACATACATTTAAAACTTTCTAACTTTATTAACAGAAAATATTTTGTCTCTATTTAATTCTTAACAGGAAAATATTCCATTTGGACAATTGTTTGCCTGTTAATTATAAGCGCGATCTCATGCCCATATAATCCTAGTCATGACGATGCAATTATTAATATACGTTTATATAGATTTTATAGCGTCAGTGAAACGGCTTCTATTTGGGATAATTTGTGTTTTATTAAACTATATAAATATGTGTATGTGTTGTTGTATAACAAAAATGATTAATATCCAATTCTGTCTGTGATAGAAAAAAAAAATGAAGTGAAAAAAATAAATCATCTAAAGAGATTGTAGAAAAAGAAATTGAATCGATCATGAGACGAGGTTTTTGTTAATAAAGTGCAACGATGATGTGAGAAATTGATTTCGTTACTTGATTAAAGACTCGTTTTCGCAGTATTTATATTGTCAGTTTTGTAATAATAGATCGAGGTCTATAGTTTGTTGTGTATTTAAAGTAATTTTACTTTTTTCCTTTTTCGCCTTAAATTTTTCACTCTTTTCATCAAAACACGAATAAAAAACAAAGAATAGAGAAAAATGAATTTTATTTTATTTTTTGGAAATTCTCTAAAAAAAAAAATTTATTTTCGTTCTTTTAGAAAATAATGTCTCCAGAAAAAAAAATTAATTTTTTGTTTCGAAAAAAAAAGAAATTAATTTTCCTTTATGGCAAAATTTTATTATTAACATTTTAAGTCGATGAAATTTATTTTCTTCGAAGTAGAAAAAAGTTAATTATTTACAAATTATTTTCATAAATTATTATTCAATGATTTTCATATAATAATAACATTTTTTTACAGGGATTCAATTATTTTTATAAATACATAATAAAACTCATCGCAGACTTTTAATTATTTTTAATTTTTAATACAATTTTAATGAAATTCCTCGAAAAAAGTAATTATTATTAAAATTTTTATTAAAATTCATCAAAAAAATTGAATTATTATAAATAAATTTTAAAAATTTCATTACAATTCAGCAAAGAAATTCAATTATTTTAAAAATTTTTGTTCCAATTTATTTATTATAATTTAAGTATTATTTTCAATGCATTTTTAAATAAATTTCTTTAAAAAATTGAATTATTTTCATAAATAATGAAATTCTTTATAAGAATAAAATTTTTTTCAAAATAATTTTCATAAAATTCTTCGTAGAAATTTAATAATTTCAAAAATTTGTGAAAATTCAATTATTTTCAAAAGTATTATAATTCTTCGGAGAAATCCAATTACGTTAAAAATTTTACAAAAATTCTCGTCAAAATTTCAATTATCTTTATAAAAAATAAAATTCCTCTCCGAAATTCAATTATTTTCAAAAATTATAATAAAATTCAATTATTTTTTTTCATATAATTTTCATCAAATTTCTCGAAAAATGAAATTATTTTTTAAAATTTTATTGAAATTTGTCAAGAGAATGAAATTATTTAAAAATTTTCTTGATAAAATTCTTTATGAAAAGTCAATTTTAAAAAACATTGAATTATTTAATCAAATATTTAATTTTGTAGTAAAATAATTCAATTCTCGTAGAATTTTCTAATAAATATTGATTTAGAAATGAATTTCAGTTAAAATTTTAGATTATAATTGAATATTGAAAGCATTATAGCGTGAATTTTTAGAAATAATTGAATTTTCAAAAGGTTTCAAATTAAAATCTTTGAAAATTTGAACTTTTCATAAGTTTTTAATTAGGAATTTTGTAGAATTAATTTTTTTCAAAAAGTTTAATGGAATTTTTTTTTTATTATTTAAAGTTTTTTAATTTCTAATTTATTTCATTGATGAATGTCAGAATAATCGAAATTTCATAAAATTAAATTGTAAACAAAAGAATTGGAAAATTCTCAAAGAACTTTTTCAAAAACTATTTTTAAAAAATTGACTTAAAGAAGAATTTTATTTGAAAATTCTAGAAATGAATAATCGTAATGGAAAAATTTCGTTTCGTTTTCGTTTCATTCGAATCCTGTCGGTTTGGTGATTTTTTCCGAGATTAAAATTAAATTCGGTTAATAAAATTTATTTGTAAAAATAAATAAAATATAGTAATGAATACTATGAATAAAATGTTAAAAATAAAATACTAACTTTAAATGTTAATAAAGAAATACTAAAAAATGATAATAATAAAATAACTAGAACTGAAATACTAAAAGTAAAATACTAAAAGTCTAAAAGTAAAGTACTAAAAGCAAAATCCGAGAATGAAAATACTAGAAGAAAATATTAGCTAAGTAAAATACTATAAGTAAAAATTAGAAGCAAAATATTATAAATAAACACAAAATACTACCGAAATAAAAACAAAAATACTACATATCGTAAAGCAAAGCAGTTACATAACCACATAGACCAAATATGCTTATAGATCAAGAGGCATAACGAATTTGAAAATTTAATTCCACTTGACAGAATATTATACATGAGTAAATTATATTAACAGCAGTAAACAAAAAAATATAAATGGTATATGTCACTGATACTAAATAGATGTATATATAGAATATATATTAGAGAGAGAAAAAAATGATATAAATATATATATGTTGTGAAATGTTAAAATGTAATGGTATCATTGTTGTGAGTATCTTGCCATAAGCTGCTGGGCGCTGTAAATCTCGCGCCCTATAGAACTCGAAGAAATCATTACGTAGCCACGCAGTATATTGCTGCTAATATAGCACAGCTCTGCCCTTTAAATGCAATCCGCGGAGACGTTCTACTATAGGGCTCTCTCTTTTTCTCTCTCCTCTCATGGCCCGAGGTGCCTACCAAGAGAAAACCTAAAGAATCGTTGTAAATCTTTCATAATGGCCTCCAAGTACTGGGCACATTCATTTACAACGATAGACGTTCAGGAATCTAGAATCTAGATCTACTCCACCCTTGCCATCGACAAAACCATCCAATCATTTCCGTTTCTTCAATGTTTAAACTCACTCACTCACTCACTTAGTGTTTAGTTTCAGGTTATTATTTTCTTGCGAGTTGGTTTATTTTTGCGAAAAAAGAAAAAAAAATTTTTTATACACATATATTTTCTATAAAATGAGGTAATTACATATTATTATTATATTTATTATTTGATATTATATTTATTATTCATTGAATCATTATTAAATCATTATTTTTTAAACCAGAGTAAAATATTCAATTAAGAAAAGAATAGTAAAAGTAATAGTAATAGAAAAAGTAACAGGTATCAATAAATACTAGACATTAGTAGAAATAGTCAGTTATATAGTCAGATGTTCAAATTTTTTTATTTCCTTATTATATTTTTTTAATTTTTAATTCTTTTTTTAATTAATTTTACCCTGAAAAGAATCCTCATTTTTGTTTTAAATCTAGTAGTAAAAGACATTATTAATCAGACAATTTAAAGTTTTTGCAAATTTTCAAAAAGGAATAACATTCATATTCAGCAAAAGTAGAAATTCCAGTAGGAATAACAATTGTGAAAGATAGTTAAATATTTGTAATTTTTGTAAATTCTCTATTAGTAGTAAGGTCATTTTCAGTCAGACGTTTATATTCTTTTTACTTTTGAACAAGAAGCAAAAAAGTGCTACTCAATTTTAATTTTGGTATTAGCAGTCTACAACTCAAATTGGAAATTTTTGCTCATTTTCTAACAGTAGTTGTTCAAAATTAATTTCAGACAGAAAATTCTACTAAATTTAATATCAGTAGTAAATGTCAGTTGTAGTCAGCCATTGAAAATGCATTTAATTTTTTTTCTAACAGTTATAAAAGTAAATTAAAGACACAGTCGGAAATAAAGTTTTGAATTTTGTCTACAAGTGAAAAAAGTAATTTTCAGTCAGACGATCTAAATTCCTGTAATTTTGTTCCAAGTAGTTGAATTCTTTTAAGTAAGACTCAAAATTCTCGTTAATTTGTATAAATTAGTAGTCAAATACGTTATACAGTCAGACATTTTCGATTTTCATGAAATTTAAATAAGAGAAAGTAAAAGGCAGTCTTAGTAAAATACTATAATTGCTTGTAAATTTGAGTTTAGTAGTAAAAGAAATTTTGAGTCAGACGTTTTGTTAATAGCGCAATTTTAATCATTCGTTTTGGAAGCAAAAGTAACTTATAGTTAGAGTTTTGGAATTTAAAAAATTTGATTTTAGTATCAAAAGACTACTGCTGTATAGTATGGATTGCTTGTGAATTTTGCATTAGTAGCAAAAGTCCGACAATAGTCAGACAAGATTTAAAATTTATGTCATCTATCTATTAGTAGTAAAAGTCAA